GCCGAAGAGTGAGGAGGGCGTAGCCATGGGAAAACCGGAGGACAGCGAAGGGCAGAGGCCCCTCAACTCTTCACCCAGGAGCGGTGAAATATGCCACATGGTGCCCTGGTGCTTTGGGAAAACAGCGGGCGCTTCCTCCTGAGTCCTGAGGAGTTTCCCCCTAGAGTGCTTGTTACTGTAGTCCTGGTTGCCTGGCATTTCCTGAGCAAGCTGGGGACTATGCAAATGAAGTGTTGGTGGCCTATCTAGAGGGTATTGGTCAGTTTGTCACACACACACACACACACACACACACACACACAGGGAGAGGAGGGTCATGCCTTAAAATTGACAAGGAGTTGTCTGTCTGTCTATCTATCTATACAGCCAACCTGCAGGTGTTGAGGCAAGGGCAGGGCAGGCTGGGCAAGATCAGTCAAGGAGGTCAGATGGTCAACAAGGATGAGAGGGACGGAGAGGTCAGGGCTCTCCGAGGGGGAAGAGCAGCCTATGCAAAGGCCCAGAGGTGGGCTAAGGAGACCCGCTGTCTTACCAACACCAGGGCGGTGTTAGGGAGCAGTGGAGAGCAGAGTGGGTCAGAAAGGTCAGTGAGGCTCAATAACGGGGTGTCAGATAGGAAGAGCATGCAGAGAAGCAGAAGGGAAAATGAAGAGGAAAGGAGAGAGGAAGCCAAGAAGCCCCTACAAGAACTATTCCACACACACACAAAAGAACTATTCCACACACACACAAAAGAACTATTCCACAAGTCATGGGCTGTCTGTGGAGGACGGTGAGAGGTCCAGGAGAGCCAGCTGCAGCCAGTGATGGCAGAGGGCAGGGCCCAGAGGAGCCTATCCTCAGGGGGCTGAGAGGAGGCCTGTGTGGCCAACAGGAGCTGAGAGCTGTCCTGCCCTGGAAAAGGGAGACTGGGCCTGAAGGCTTCCTGGTCCTGATCTTGAGTTGTAGCCGGATGATGCAGGTCCTGACTTGCACCCTGTTGCCTCCTTAATGAACCATTTCACTGCAGTGCCTGGCCTTGGGGCCCATGGGGCCATCGTAGTGGACTTTCAAGCCCAGAAGCAGAGAACGCCATTGGAGGACGGCTGGTGTCAGAAATGGCAGAAAGGCTGGAGAGTGGAGGTCTGTCTGGCTCCCATCAGCCTCGGGCTGACCTTGGTTTGCATTATCCCCTCAGAAACTTGACAAGTTTGGGAGCCACTAATAATCCCTCCATTTTATACCTTGTCCAGAGAGGGTGACTGAGTGCTCTTCAAATGTCACTCCTTGAAGTCCTAGGGTCCCAAGGAGGTGCTCTGGGGGTCCACCCAGGCATTGAGGATGGCCTTCCGGGCTAAGCACCACCTCCCAGCTCCACCCCCCTCAAGAATAGTTCTGCTTTTAAACAGATGGGGTCTAGAAGGATTACTTGGAAACAAAATTTCAAACTCATGTTTCTTTCTTTCTTTCGTTTTTTTAATCAAGAACCACTAGGCTCTCTAAGGGGCCT